CGTTGCATTGACGATATGCCGATATACATATATATGTATAAACTTCATTGTAACGAAACAACATTCTCGTCTCTGATCTCTCGATAGAAATTCCCGCTGCGCGGAATCCTCGGAATCCGATCGAGGATGTATCGATTGATGCAGAATCGGAACATTCTAATTTTACGTGGACATAAAAATTTAGGTCGCAAGCCCATGGGAGACGCGTGTCCTACAAATGTATACCTGGAACAATCTTCTTTTACTTTCGACTTTAATGACGATGCGCGTGGACAACACCAACGTTTCTCACTTTGAGAAAAGATATTGCAGTCTCCCGTCCTTTCATTCTTTCTCCCTCTCATCGCGAATAAGCTTTTTCGTCGGTTTTCTCGTCACCGCGAAACCGCGACAAACACGGACAGCGAGAAGAGCCGCCGAAAAGAACATCTTTTTTGTTTTTGCTTTGGTTAGCCTCTTCCGAGATAAATTCTGTTTAATTCTTTTACTTCACAGAATTTCACATATTTTCTTTTATCTTGAGCAAGATATTTCGTGGCAATTAAACGGACGATTCATTAAATCAACTGTTTAATGAATTTATATTCATCTAGTTAAGTTTAGCAAAAGTACATCTTTTCAATACTTGATACACATTAATGTAAACTGCAAATATAATTTCAACGGGGATAAAGTTCTTCTGAAATTAAACAAAAGATAAAATGTTGTTATTCTTTAATTTCAAAAGAACTTTTATAAACACATACATGAAGACTTATAGAAAGTCTTCGCTAGATAACGCACACGTGCAAATCGCCGAGGCGATTAATGGACGATGTGAAAAATATCGTGAGCTTTTAAGAGCGCATAATCTTGGGGGTTGAGCTATTACGCGTGCGATCTCCGGTACGTAGCAAAGCCGAAGTATAATCTTTCTTCGAGCGAGCGTGATATCGTAAACGCGCGGCGTATAAAGCGTATCGCCCGGCTGGGTTACATAATGCGCGAACGTAAATAGAGGCATAATTCAAAATTGCATAAGACGGCAAGTTACGATCCTATAACTCCTGCAGTGAAGTGATTGCATCCCGCCGATACGCGTTTGTCCCGATAAATATCTGAAAGTTGTACCGTAAGTTCGTCACTGACGTCGTTTCTCCTTTATGTAGCTTCTATCGCGATCCGCGCGCTCCGGCATCCTGCAGCATGCCGCACTTCGGCATCGATTTTTCGCGCGCGACTTTCAGTCCTTTTCAGAGATCGTGCCCGTACCGTGCTGTGTCGTGTCGTGACTAAAAATGTACCGAATTAATATCACCCGTCAATCTCCATAATCCCGGGACATGCCGCGGTACATCGGAAATAGCGCGTCCTCTTTCAAAAGCTTCCGGAACACTGACAATATTCGCAGCTGCACAAATTCACAATGGCAGCGTCATTTTTGTAATTCGACGACACTACGCGACGTACACCTCTGTGAAAGCTTTCGCGACAATGGCAAAATTTATATGTGTCACAATTTGCAACGTCAGGATGCGTTTTGGCGATCAATCCTACGTTTTATGATTTACTCAATTGTCACGCGCAATATCTTTTCCTGTGAGTAAATTAGCTGTGAGCTGTAAAGATACGTTAACGCAAAGTGAAAAGCTCCCGAAATATAATAAAATTAGACAATTTATACTTTTGACTTGGTCGCGGAACTTACCGAGAGTTAAAGCATCTTGTGTCATTAAAATTTTTACTAATGAGAAAATATTTAGACTTTTAATTGGTCGATCTTTAAATTTGTCTTTAATATTTCTCGATATATCGTAATCCTACATGTGAATAAAGTAACAACACTCTGTATTTCTATTTTTCTGGAGTTTCCATTTTATCGTGAAACAGACGATACCAGATGGGACCACCTGAATCGAACATGATGAAAGATTTGCCGATACGCTCCTTTTCGTTTACACTACGAAAGGATGCACTCTCGGCAGATACTGCAAGAAATAACACGCCTTCGGAAGAATCGAGACGCACCGTGTCATCGCAGTGTGATCGTAGGTCGCCGACGTATGTTGTTCGTTTCGGAGAGAAAATCGTGTAACGAGTTAACGTCTACTCCCTCTGGTATACCTGTGGAAAATAAACTAGGCCGCGCTATATTCACCTGCTTGTCAAAACTTTCTCGTCGGTGAGTTTTGCCGGATGGTATACGAACGCTGCGCAACCTGTCGAAGCGGGCACGACCGCATTTGCGAATATGCACGAATAATCGTGGAGGCGTGGTAGATAACAGCGAAAGGGCGCGTCGTTGGTAAAACGTGCGCGCCGATTAAGCTCTTTGAGTCTTCGCTAGAAATTATGTAGAGAGTGTCCCACAAAGTCCTTATAATAGTAAAACTTTATTCTCTAACGAACCTTGCGAGGCAATTTTCTCTCAGGGAAAATTTGATCGGATATCGTTTCTTTTTTTTTTATACAGCTTTCAATGTTCAAATTTAAATATTTTCGTAAGTAGAACTTGGTAATCCGCTCTAATTAAGGTTCCGTTAAAATTCACTTGAGATTAAACGGAGAGCAATATTTTGCTTCACATTTGCAGTCCTGAAGTAGTCCTTAATTCGTGAAATTTCGTACATTTTAAATCGCTTACATCACGGAAATTAAACTTTAACTTAATTAACGGATTTGCAAATAAAAGGAAGCGGAAATGATGATGGAAAACGTAGAGCATTTTGCATGTTATAAAGCAGATGAATTGGAGAAAATTGGGTTGTTATCTGTGATAGTTTTGACAGAGAGAGAGAGAGAGAAGCGCAATCGTGATGCCGTTGTTACATTGTGGTGCTGATGCTCAAAATGCTCGATGGTGAAATTAACCACATCGACCATGTTAAACAAAACTGGCTGTACACAAAGCAACCTCGCACAACAAATGGAACATCATTTAACGATAAAGACAAAATTATTGTGGGCTTGTGTCCTAGCATCAAAATTACGCTCGTGGTCGGCCGTTTCGATGGCCATTCGATCAAAGGATATATTTGATAAACGAGGACAACGCTCGCGCGTATGTAAAGAAGAATGACGACTGAGAATACTCGACGAACGATGACGAACGCAGTGTAAATGTAGCGTGCGACACTGCTGAAGAAAAATTTACGAAGAATACGCTGTCGTTGACGCGAATAAACAACCGGGGATGACTGCAAAATATCACAGTGATGGCTGCTGGAAACTCGATGACTCGTCTCGGCTTTCATTCTTTCGCGTACACGCGAATAAATCAGGCGCGGTAAACAGCCAAGATTCAATTAAAAGATAAAGCGTATGAGCTGCCGTTAGGTACATAACGCGCCTCGCTCGCGTTTCAATCGATACAGATACACAAAGTTGCAGCATCACGCGCATTAAACTCTTATCGCGTGCACGAAATTGTCGAGAGTCGAAAAAAAAAAAAACAAATCGAAGATAATTATCGGACGTTGCGCACGCGATTCCGATCCCCGATATGATACGCGATGACAGAGAGAATTTTCTGCTAAATATAAATTACTGCTGCTTATCGATCATCTAGAACTGTATGAGATAAGATGACAAATACTTTCGCGGCTAGAAAATTACAGTGATAAGTCCATATGGCAGCGGCAGTTTCGTTAAGACCCAAGTGTTTTCACACTTATCTTCAACTTTCCTTTCTGTCCTTTCTTGAGCTTTATCGAAAGAAAACACTGCTGAAGCACACCCGCGCGCGCTTAGAATGGCAAAGAGAAAAATGATAAAGTTTCACGAACTGACCCGGCAATAATTATACTCTTTCAGAATTATTTTCTGGTCGAAGAATTGCGGTAGCCCTCCCGGACATTAAGTACCTATTCCTCAACGCCGACTTTATGCATTTTTATGAAAATGTCACATCGTATTGTATGCATGTGTTGTGTCCATTGTTACATATCTCTTTGTAGTATCACATCGTTTTAACGTCTGTTTGTCTTAAATGATATATTGCTTCTTTTATACCACCATATTGTTAGCTCTTATTTATTACATTTCGCAGAAATCATTATCTTCTGCATTAACAGATAGTCTTTTCAATTCTCTGATTGATCCAATTTATGGGGAATGGACAAACATTGTGATAAAAATACTGTTAATTCAGTATGTAATCGACTTCGCTGTAATTACGCATGTTACTAATGAACGATTTGGCATTGCTGTTGCACGCGAAGGAAATATATACCAGTAATTGAAACAATATTTATATATGTATGCAGAAATGGTGGCGAATAATTAATAAAGATGCAAAGAATCTAAGAATTAAAGCGTTATGAAACCTCCACGTAAATAATAAAATATTTCATCGTTGCAACATGCGATAATTACTGATAGTATTATTAATTATAAGTGATAACGATGGAATATCAAACTTGTTTGTTTAAGAGTTAGCAGGTTTTACATATTCTAATGTAATTAATATTATATTACAACAACAATCAAGTGAGAAGGTATATTGACATCAAAATAATCTGAAATGAATAATAAAAAAAAATGAATAATTTAAGTATTTTCAGAAAAAAAATTTTCTTATAATTATTTAAATTATATATTTTGTAACATATTATAATTATATATTTTGTAACATAATGTATACCTTGTGTATATGATGTAAATTTTAGTTATATGTCTCAGTTAATTATATGTACAAGATAATTTTCATACTAATGTGATACCTGTAATGATTGATGATACGAATTTTGTGATGTCTGTAATTATTGATGATATATGGTAACTGTCCATTATTATAACATTAGTTATTTTGTTAACCTAATATGTCATTGGTGATTCACGGATATGCCTAATGACCGCTACATTATCCTTTTAGTAAATATAAATACCACAAAGGTGCTTTTGAACATATTGAACCATATTATTCTTTATACTACCATTAGATGATCAAAATTATTACGTCTAGTGATATTATTATCTATTTTCGTACGCAGTTACTACCCAAAATTACGTTTACACTACTATATCACGTATAAAATCAAGGAAATAGGAAAGACAAAGACAATTTTAACGAAATAACGAAAATAATGTTGAAGATAGATTATTGCGATCTATTAAGTATAGCTAAATCCGATATTGATATGGTATATCAGGCCAAAAATGATTTTATTCACTTTTGACGATCTGAAAGATATTTCTCTCGTCTTTTATATTCCTTGCAAAACCTGAACAATTTCTCGTTGATTCTTGCGTAACATAAAGAAACAAAATTGGAAATAGTTAATTTATAGTTTCACGCGCAGTGTCAAAATGAAAAGACGCACGTTGTCGCATTCATAGATTTGTACCTCTTTCAGGTATATCCCGTTGCATACATTTGACAGCGCGAATGCCCTGCAGTCCGTGACACTGACGACACTCAGTGCCAATAACGTGCTTTTAAGCGGGTTAAGGCAATTTGCATCGGAGTGACCATGCGCGCCTGAAATAGGTCGCTCTGCCATCCGTCCGCGGAACCTGATGATTTTTTACGGGAACAAGTTCGTCGGCCGCGAGCGCGGTCGGCGTTTGCATACAAACCATGGGCGGAGGCTGGAAATATCCTAGAACCGAGTTCGACTTGAAACTTCATGAATATGTGAAAGTACTTGTACGCCGGCGCTATAGAGGTACGTAGGCTCATGAAAGTTTTAATCAGACGCATGACACTTTATATCGGACCGCGCATTGCCGAAAGACCTCTCCGATAGTTGGCTGTTTAATGTTTAATCTACTTAGGCGCTAGTGACAAAGCGACGGTAACAAAGCGACACACGATGAACTTTATCCCGTCAATCGAATAAAACTGTAACTGCGGGTCTGTCCATATCGATTGGGTTTAATTTAATTATTAAACGCAATTGCTGACAACGTCCTTTGGCGGATCGAACGATTGAGTCGGCCATTGTCCTTCTTCGTGATTGTAATATTAATGTGTTAGTCATACGAAATCCAGCATTTCGTACTATGCGAAGTAAGGGTGAGCAATCGATTTCAGTTGAATCCAAGTCTAACCTAGTTTCGTTAATTGCCAAGAAGATGCAAACAAGTATTTCTGATTCACGTTAGTGTAGTTAGCTACAAACCAGAATAAGATATGACTTTACAAGAACAGATTATTCAGTATTTACGTTACAACATAGGTACACGTCTTATTAAGAGGCTACGCAGAACTTGTATTTTTCTAAGAAGAGTTGTTAAAATTCTAGCTAAAATCAGAAAATTGTCTCGATCATGATTTCTTGTTTAACTGCGTCAATTGTGAGGTAGTAACTCGCGAGGATGTGGAGGAAGAAAAGGGAATTCTAAGACCGTCGCTGAGCGCACCGCGATCTCTCTTCCGTCTCTTACTGACAAATCGGGGAGATAGGTTACCTACCGAGGGAAATGGAAGGGAAAGCTTTTGGAAGAATTACGAGAGGCGAACGATGTCGCGGACAGAGACACGCCGTGTCGATATCTCTTGTACCCGAGATAAGAATGTCCTCCGTCGAGCGCGCACGGGGCACGAATGAAAATGGATCGGTCGCGGAAAATCCACGTATCTATGCGGAGACGAATCTGCTTAACGAGAGGCACCACTCGAGAATAAGAAACGTCTTCGAAAACATTTAAACGTTTGAAATGGATTTATTACACGTTTACACGTCTCGAGATTAAGCCGTATGCTTCTAATTTGAATTAAATAAGGGACAAGGTAATATCACTTTGAAGAGATCTTATAATTTAGTGGAATCCGTCGAGCGCGTCTGCCTTCATCTAACGGCTTGATTTTTCTTAACAAGTATGAGAAAGGGGAAGCGAGGGAGAGATATTTTTCATTGCGGATTTTTTATCTCGGAATGAAGTTTCTCGACCGAAAAAAAGGAGATAAAAATATTAAATCCAGTGCGGGATAATCAGGATGTGTCGCAAGACACTCACAAGCGGATTCGTACTTTGAAGATGACACTTTTTGCAAAAGCGTTTTTCGCAACCGCGCGAGGCGTTATTCCCGACGAGGGCGAAATGAAATTTTGTCGGTTCGAAAAGCGCGAGCGGAGCAACGTTCCCGGTGACAGAAGTTTTCAGCTTGGTGGAGGAACAAGTGAAAATGTCTGAGATGCCCGGAAGTTCCGCGGCAAGTTATGGCAGCTTTTTTCCGCGTTGGACGTCAACGCGGAGAGGCGGTTTGTTACTATCTCCGGCGTTCCCGGACGAATTTCAGCCGGGAGAAGGAACAGGTGGAGGACGAAGAATAATGCTCTCTTCGTGGGTAGCTGTACCTCCTTGTGCCGCCAATTCGCGAAGATTGAATTGTCTGCCCGACGGAGTGACTTGTCGTTACGCGGCTTACACCGGCGACGAGCTTGCAACCTCCATCTACGCGATGAAAAATCTTGGCGGGGCTGCACGTTCAGCAAAGCGGTCGTAACGAAAGAAGAGACATGCTAGGACTTAGCTTCATAGCCTGCTTGGATGCAATTTTTTAGTAATAAGTTAAAAAATGTCAGTAATCTGAAAAAATAAATGTGCCGATACGACAAAAGTCATTTTTTTCATTTTAAAAATAAATTTATTTCAGATTCAACTAATTTGGTTTCCTTCTCTCGCGTGTATATTTCTCCGTGTAATTATCTATCGACGAAAAACTGTAAACTCTGAAAAAAGAACTGTAATTCATTAGTGTCAAAGTTCTGCGAGTATGATGCACAGTTACATTTCATCCCGTCATTAAGACTGATTTATCCACAAACAATTTTGGAAAGCGAAGGAGATCACGCACTTGCTTTTTTTCCGGAATATACTACGTTAGCACATATGATAGCTGGCGAAAACTAATTAGCGAAAGCGATCCTCACAGGGAGGACTGGGTGAAGGAGAAGATGGAAAAAAAAAGAAGAAACGAAGAAAAGCCATCGATCGTGAGGGAACAGTACACATAGAGAATATTGGAGCGTGTAACTATCAGCAGAGGGTACGAGGAATACTCGAGACATTTGGGCGCCAGTAGCGAAGCAATTTTTTGATAGGATCAGTCGACTCGTGTCGAGTCCGCTCACTGTTTCTTCGTTTTACTCGCGCTCCGTAGGAGATATGAAACATCGAAAATGGACTGCGGTCGCTCTTTTCAACAGGAAGACTATCGGGAATTTTCTCGCAATGCAGCCAGCGAAACAGACATACGGGGCATAAGGTCTTTGCACCTTCCTTCATTTACGGATTCTTTGAACAATTTAAAATCTAGTTCCCCTTAACGAAAATTTCATTTTACTTCCTCTCTTTCCCGGTAATTCTTTAACATTCAACTTTAACTTTACTCAATTTCAGCTTTAACTTTAGTATTAAAGTTAACTGCATTGAAAATCGAAAAATGGATTAAATTTTTACGATATTCGGTAGCTCAACTATATTACTGATTAATTATAGTGGAACTGTTAAATTTCTATTAGACTCTTTAATTTCTCTTTACATAATAATGCCTCAATTATTCTTTAAACCGTATCTTTTTTATCCAATTCGTACATGAGAATATCTATGAACAATCAGAAATATCTTTTACATCTTTAAATCGTACGACTTTTTCTTATTAGAAGAATGCGCTTCACATCATATCTACGAGCATCGATTCGTATCAAAGTGTAAATAGCTTTTATTATCGCATAACGGATTCGAGTCGACGACCGTATGACGTTTCTTTTGTTGAAATGTGAACGGTTAAGGATGAACTGGATACACGCGAGCTGTTCTTCTACATTCACTCTAACGATAAATCTTTTGCTCGTCCGTTTAAGAGATTGCAGACGTAATAAGTGGTGATTTCTTTTTTCTTGCCGTGTGATCCGACCAAGTATAAAAAATAGTTTCCAAAGTTATATTACATTTGGCGCCTCAGTAATATGTAGAAGTTTATGGGTTAAATAATTTTTCTAACATTATCGCTCGTGAAATGGTCAGAATCAAATAAAAATTAATAAAAGTCATCCGATAAATTGAATTGTAGAATAACTTTTAATGATGATCTGATAATTATCGCTTTTAATAATCTGTTAGCTACTACTAAATGTAAATATTCAGCATTTTTAATGATTTTAGGATAATTTTTTTGTGGCTAACGCATATGTACACAAGAAATTTCTATCTTTAGTTACTCGATGATCTCAATTAACCCACTTTCGTGATCTTATTATGGATTAAAGACTACGCCATCAAGTGTACTATTATCAAGTACGACATTTTAGATTTAAAAAAAGGAAAGAAAAAGAACTCACAAACGATTTCTCAAAAATGAGATTTTGAGTCTTTTTTTGGTCAGAAAGGTTTAATGTCAGCTTCCCTCCAGGCTCGATAAAAACCTCGACAAAATAAAATACAGGGGACTCATGTCGCCGGAGCGACGCGTAAAAAGCGATGGCCGGTATTACAGAGGCATTAGAGCCAATCCAGATCTCTGCGATGGACCAGCGACAAAATACGTCGGATATTTTCGACGCGAAAAGCGCCCAGGTCAAAGTATCGCGAATACCAGACGAAGCTTACGCTTTCGCTCTCGCGCTGAATTACATTCCGATCGCTTCGCTTGACGGTGCAGCGCTGCGCTTGATGCATCCGCTTATTGTATAGGGTGTCAAAAGTATTCAATGCTTGAGGCAATTCGCGTCTCTACGAAGCAACAGCGTCAATTACTTTTGGAAACAATCATTCTTTTGAACGTACCAAGGTCAACGATGATAAATATCTTATCGCCAAATATACATACAAATGCAATATTCATTACATATTAATTCTTCTGTTAGCTTTTTTTATTCTTGTTGAAACAACTAAATTAGAACGTTAAAAATTTTAATTAGACCGAGAGAAGGACAACTTTTTCATAAACATTTGTTTTACCGCAGCCTGTAGTAATTAACGTACCGTGGAAACATGTACTGAATGTTACTTTAGAAATTCCTCGTCTCACTTTTATTCGCTATAGTGTGAAGTTCCAGAGATTTTTATCATAGCTCTCTGATTTTCCGATTTTCCAAGTAATCTTAGATATTATTTTACGCTGTGTGTACCCGATGTGGTATATATATACAGTACTTTACCAAAATTTATGTATTACCGTCTCCTTTGTTTTTTCATAATGCATTACTCTGAAGAAAGATTGGTAGCTCCGACAAAATACCTTACATTCATCAGCACTTAATGCGCTCTCGTGCATATTGAAAACCGAAGGAAAACTCAACGTGGCCTAATATCGGTCGCGTGCGAGGTAATAGCAGTGAGTACAGTATTGTGGAACAGAAACTCCTTCGACGTACGAAAGGCAAAAGCGTACTGACTCGCACGCAAGGGGAGATTCTTATTTCGTGAGTTCACCGAACCGATAGTGAAGAAAACTTTTGGAATTTTCCAAAGAATAAGAGCACAGTCCGCATCGTAAGCTGTTTAATTAAATACATAAAGAGAATTTAGACACAATACAACGAATAATTAAAAATAAATAAATGAAAATCCTTGAAATGAATTCAAACAAAGATAAGGTCATGAACAAATATTTATGACAAATATGGTCGTAAGAGTGTAATTGTCTTCTTTCCTTTAAGCGACAAGAGATGGAATATCATTTCGATGTCAATTTGACTTTATTCGTATTCATCGATTTATCGGAGCAAATTCGCGTTTATTCGTATTCGTATTGTATTTAATTTTTATTTGATATGAATCTAACTTTATCCATATCTGAAACGGATTATTTTACTTGTTTCAATAAATAGCGATTAATTTTTTTCCAAATATGTTACATATAATATATTTAACAAGCAGCCTTTTTTTAAATTAAAAAAATAATATTATTTGTTCATTTTCTTTAAATCTGCAAAACGCAGGATTCGTACAAATGAATTTATTTTTAAAATCATTTTTTGAGTGAGGTACGACAGTCGATATATGACGCACAACAATAATTATTTAAGAGAAGCGTTGTCAGAAGCGAGATGTATTACAGACACGCCAGTCGTGTATATCCGTACGTATACTGATATTGCGACGAAGATATCAGAGTCGGCAAAGGCGAAATGAGTTAATCCAGTGCGCGCGAGAAAATCTGGCATTAAAGTTTCATGAGTGGGGTGCCGGTTCAGTTTCGCGTTCGCTCGGTCGGCTGCTCTTTTTCCATCGCAGCAGCAGACCGCGCAATATTAGCCGAACCGCTGCATCCCGGCATAAATAGCCGAAATCGATGGTACGTTGCCCGACGAACGGAGGAACCATTGGCGTGATTGCCGCGAGCAAGGACGATGCACCCGGAGCCACCGCTGCTGCCGCTGTCGTCGTCGTCGTCGTCGTCGTCGTCGTCGTCGTCGGTGTTCCGCAGCCGCAGCTGTTCCGATTCCTTGCGAATAAATTATTCACGCTTTCCGCCCCCCAGGCTCACATGGTACGTACGATCGCTCACGCGCACGGCCGCGGTCTTCCGGTCGAAATGCGGTTAAGCTCGTCTTTGCGCGGGCCCGGAAGCCGCGCTGGATGGCCTTCGTTATAATTGAACCGAATCCGAATCCTGCGCAGCGGGCGGAAGCGCAATCGTCGCGATCAATGTTTGATCCCGGCGATTGCGCGGCGATGATTAATAATGGGCAATTAGCGCGGCCGTATCTAATTATTCATGGTTAACGTTCATTAGCGTCGACCGACTAGCTTGATTCCGAGGTAAAGAGAAAGCGAGACAAAGAGCGCGCGGGAGGAAAGCTCTTCGGCTTTCCACGCGACTACGTCTTACTGTGATCCCGTCACGTTAGTCGCGTAGGATTTTGGATAATGAATGGGGTGCGGGGTATTTCCACCTATACTGAATAAGAGATTGATGTAGCGATGCATTATGAAATTGTTACAGTAGCATTAAGCGCGAATCGATATATCAATCGCTAGAAAATGTGTCAAACTGCCAGTAAAAATATACGTTTTGTAACTTATGTCAGTTTTCATAACACAGTAAAGCCTGTAAAAATAAACTCTTAAATAAATGTACCTACTTAATAACCTACTTTTAAAGTAATCTTTTTATCTTTTCCACGTCATTTGTTCATTTTACTTATATCGAAAGTTAGGAAGTTCTGTATTCTTTATTTATTAACAGTAAAAATATAAGTGTTTGATATACACATTTCTTCTCGTAATAGGGATAACAGACAAGCGTATGAAACTGCAAGTATTTAAATAACATATAAAACATGTTTGCGAAGATAATCATTCGTTTGCTCATCACGTGTGCCTCGTTCATTGCATCATCTATTTCATATCGGTGGTGCCCAAAAAAATTCTGTAATATCTGGTATAACAAAGATACGCAGAGGTATGGGCCCGTGGCGGCCATATAACTGGCCATTCGCATTCTCGCAATGGGTTCATCGACCATTTCGCGGTGATGATCTGTCGTGCCAACAGCAGACGGACGAACCCGTCGGCTTTGAAAAATGAGAGCGTCGTGATCCAGTATCGCCGAACCGCGTCGCGCCGCGTCGCTCTCGCATC